GTGATTATTTTCTTCACAGAGCTAAACGTCTATTACTGGTGATATTTAAAAAGTTTGGGGTATTCACCAAGAGTTATTGCTGTTCTGAAAGAATTTCTGAAACCCTCAAAGACTCCTCCAACCATCTGGATGAAAGAACATTTTGTTTGATGCACACGGCATCCATTCTCTACACGCCTTCCCTTCCCTGTCACCTGCTAGAGTAATGACATCAGGCTCGATTGCAACATACTGATGCTAGCATTTAGCTCAAAGCACTGATGGTCCCTAATTGGCAACGCTCTTGTATAAGTAAAACATGAGTAACACAAAACAATGATGTCCTGTTTTGATCAGCACTTACTATATTTTCTCACTGACACCACAGTAGGAGACATTTGCTTGTTCCTGTCATCCTGGGAGCTGTATTGTCTGGAGCAATAGCTCCAGGTAGGATCTCCCATGCCAAATAAGTCCCAGGGTAGGGACCAGACAAAGAGCAATTCAGAAAAGCCCAATGAAACACAGTTCTTAGAGCTAGTTAACCTCACTCGGGAGTGGAAAACTGGAGCCCTCACCAAGAGATGGGTGCCAGGCATAGTTTTGGGGTGTGGAGCAGCCTGGGCATGTCCCTTTGGATGTGTTCTGGGATGGCCAACTAGGAAGAGACCCCGGGGTAGACCCAGAACCTGCTGGAGAGATTATATTTCTTATCTGGCTTGAGAATGCCTCAGGATCCCCCGGGAGGAAATGGAAAGTGTGGCCAGAGTAAAAGGATGTCTTGATTACCATGCTTAGCCTGCTGCCACCATGAGCCGTCTTTGGATGTGGAAGATAATGGGTGGACATTTTTTTTGGAATTCATTTCAAAACGTTTAAAAAGTCTTTCTGTGTGATGAAAAGCACACTTAAATACAATTTACTCCAAAGAAGATATTTAAAAAAACAAAAAACAAATACCCAAATCAAACTGGTTCTTCCAAGTCTAAATAGTGAGGCTAGTCCAAGACTGTGGTAAAGCGACATTCTTTCTACAGCCAGCAGGGGGCGACTCATGGTTGGAAAAAGACGTCCAGGTAAATATAATAGAGAACAACCTTTTTGCTTTTCTGATGACTAAGGTTTAAATTACTGATTCGAGGCCTTATTAAATGCAACATCATGATAATTTTGTAATTTATGATCCTCATTAGAGGCCACCAGCAAGATAAATGGTATTTCTTACTGTGATTGATGTCACAGTAGTTATGTCAATGTTTTGCATCCCTTCATTCATCCATTTTCTTCTGCTTATCCAGTTCAGTGTCACAGAGGCAGCGTACGCCCCGGACACATTGCCAGTCTGTCACAGGGCTAATGCACAGAGTCAGCCAACCGTCTATGATCACATTCATACCTATAGCCAGTTAAGTCTATGATAAACAGTACAGTGTTCACCGTAGTCATGTTCACCATTTCAGTTTGTGTAGCATACTGATATTTTCTCCTTAGACAACACTGTTGCTGACGGGAATACTTTTCATTTTAGCACGTGTTTGGTGATGAACCACAGCACAGAAATTCTGGTCTGATGATACAGGGGTGAAAGGAAATTTCATGGCATTCAACAGTTTGAGTAAGATCTTTTTTTTTTTTTTTTTTTTGCGTTGACACAATATATTTAGTGTGATGGTTATTGGTGTATTTTAGGATCACATAAGTGTTTTCAGGCAAGCAGTTTGTGAGTTTCCCCAAACATTACCATGTACTTCTCCTCCATAGAAATGGATGCTTAGCCCCGTGTCTTAAATGTAATGCTGATACTGGAGGGGGTAAACTATCTGTGTAGCCTCAAATAGCTGCTAGTGTGGCTGAAGAGTCTTTGTCTTGTTCAACTATCCTTTTCACATCATGAAATGTCAATGAGTAACAGGCCAGAAGGCAAGAAAGCATTAATGGATGAGTCTGGCGATGCTTTATGATGATGATGGCCTCCATCATTTTCTCTCCCTCCCATCAACTACAATCTATCATCTGCACCAGGCTCCAGTAAAATATCAGGGACACTTGAGGTTTTCTTGGCCCAGAGCCTCTGACATGCTGGCTTAATTTTACCTTCCACTGCAGCGTGGCGCATTTACATAAAACACAGAGAGAAGTAGTACACATAATGGTCCCCTTTGGCCAAGCGCTTTAAGGTCCTGTCCACAGTCCCAGCGAGGGGCAGTCAAGCTGCCTCTGCTCTGCTCTGTTTGTTTTATGGAGCAGTAGTGAAACCACTTTGAGGTCAGCTAGCTGCAAAAACTGTGCTGGGTCTCCTATGGTCTGCTGAAAAAGGCTTCAAAGCCAATCCAGAGGGCCATTTGGAGAGGTCCAGCCAACTTCCATTGACAAAAAGAGGTCATTATTGTGCATACATTAGATCATTTCACTTATATCAAAGCTGCTGATCAGTTCTTCTTGCAAAGGAAGAGACAAACCACTAAAAAAAGCCCAACGTGTTCCTGTTTGCAGGGAACTTCAGTCACACATCCTGAATTAATTTGAGTGCCGTCATTATGCAAGTACGGCACAAATTGTCCAAGACCAAGTGAAACTATTTATAGCCGTCACTAGGCCTGTGAGCCAAGTGTGCCTAATGGTGTAATTTGTATTGTTAATGGTAATGCACTGTTAGTTTGTTCCATTTGGCTTTGCACAGGTGCATTAATGTGGGCCTGTTGAAGCGTTGCAGTCAGTCCAAGAACCCATGCTGCTATGTGCAGGTTTTCAGCAGCACCACGGCTCCCTCTTGTGGATCAGAGTGCTTAGAACACAGGCTGGCTTCAAGGTTAAGGAAGAGCAGGTTATTTTTGCTAAACGAAACAAATGAAGTGGTCTTATTGTGATGGGAAGACCTGCTTTAAACCAGAATGTCAACCACAAACAGCTACAAGAGCAGCATAGACTTTTGAAAAATCGTGTTCCTAATTAACCTTCAAGCTCATCAGGCACAATCAATATAGAGTGTAGCCTTTTTTCCTAATTGAGATGAAGTAATTATCAGACTGTATTCATCTCATTAATGAAACAATGTTCCAATATGCCTGCAGCAAAACTGTTAATTGAGTTCTATTTTCTGAGACAGGCAGCCTCTCCTTGTGTCCATGGCCACAAAGCATCAAATGTGGGTTGGGGCCTTTGTGCTCGTCTCTGTGCAGACACAGGAACAGGCTGTGGACTGGTGGAGCATGGTAGTGCTCTCCCCCCACAGACACTTCCCCTCCCCACTGCCTATTCTCCCATCAGAGAGGAGGCAAGAGTTGGTAATACAGCTGACTTCAGCAGATCATCCCGTCCCAGTGTGTTATTTCACGGTTTCAGTGGTTAAGTGCTCCCTGTTGAGTAAGATATAGCGAGGCAATTATTCTGTAATTATGGCGCCAAAAGACGAGAAATAGAGTCAAGAGTTACTGGGCTCATGTAAATCACTGTAACGGATCTAAAAAGGGTGCAAAAACAGGTTGGATTGTCCACAAGTACAGTCCAGACCATAAGTATGTGGACAATTACATTTTTCCTTCCTCCAAATCAAGTTGGAGTCAGGTGAAATGACAGAGTTCTCTACTAAAAAATTTAGTAGCTAAGGATCCAGTTATTTCTGAACCTCTCTTGTATGGGTTTAACATGTTTAAAGCTCAAACATATTTCTATCCAATATCCATACTATCCCTGATCCAATAGAATGAAGGTACATAAAGCATACAGAGTATTTGAAACTGTATGCTGATGGATTCTGCAAAACATTTGGCTGCGAAACTCTCAAATATCTAATTTAACGCAAATTCCTATTAATGCGACTGTGAATGTCACTACACTCTACTCATCACCCAACCCACCCATGCAGTTGATACCTGCTCCTCCCCGAGCCAGGTTCTCCTGGAGGTTTCTTCCTGCTAAAAATAGGTTTTTTCTTTCCACTGACGCCAAATTTGGCTCGTGGGGTCTCGTCCATTCATTTGTCTATAAAACTACACTGATGCAGAATAGCAGACTGAGGTGACTGTTGTCAGGTCACACTATAAAAATAAAACTGAACTGATTCATTCACCTGGCGAATATCCCCAGATAGTGATCCAGCTGTTAATGCAGTCAAATGGCTGCTCCAAGATGCCAGTTTCTAAATACGCAATTAGGGGAAAAAACCATCGGTTCTACGCCAGAAGTGGAGAGTGGAAAGTTAGTATTATCCACTAATCCACAATAACCACATTACCAAAGAATACAATTGAAAAACCATGGAAAAATCCTTTATAAACACAAGTATTAAGTGAATTTAGGTGAACCTTGATTTTTTTTTCCTTCTTTTTCTTGCTTACTGGCTGCAAAGAATTTTAATCTCAACTGTTCCATGCCCCTGAATGCATGATCCTAAAATGAAGCATATCATTTTCTGGACATAAATTTTTAATAGATTTTAATTCTAAAACTATCTTAAACTCATATAAATATCAATTTTAATGAAATAATCAATGTCTCCAGTATTAATACACAGTCAACTTTCACAGTCTGCATTTTTGCAGCTTTCTTTCCTGGCATTTCATTAATACAGCAGCTCCTTTCTCCTTTCTAGCTTTACCATCCAAAGTCCATAAACATTTACACAGAGCTTTTGCTGTTCAAGACACTCATACTGCTGATGTGTCTGCAGCAGCTGTGCCACTTTCAACGTGTGTTATTTGTGTAATTTCTTCATGCTACTGTAATGTTATAGTTTTATCTTCCTTTGTAAAAATCCCTCGCTCTGCTGTCAGTGGACTTGTCTACATCTCAGGCACACAGCCAACACCCCTTTCATATGAACGTGCTCATAGCTTGGATGGAGTTTATCAACACTTTTGTGTTACTGCTTATAGCTCGATTGCCACTGTTACAGTGTGTGAAATATATCCTGGGTATGTCGAAGTCATTTCATACTGTATCATTTGGTGAAAGTTGCATAAAACAAGTAAATCACCTTTTAAAAGCCAACCAAACTTATTCACAAAATTCATCACACAAACTTGCAGTTATTTGTTTATATTCAGAGTGTTACTGTGGAGAGTGGAAAACAACAGTAATCATAGAAGCAATGCACCAAAATAAAAGGAAAGTGAATGTGGGATCGGAGGAAAAATAATATTAAAGAAATGTTCTATACATTAATATAAAGGCACTATCAGTTTCTTCTTGCTTGCAGTAGTACTGTACTCAAACATTCCAGCTGTTAGTCATTAGTACCTTTCTCCTACTCCAGGTTGTCCTTTCAGACTAAAAAAACCCAAAAGAACAGCAGCTGTCTTTTAAGAAAAAACATGCACATTAATATCTGTGATAAATCACTGAAATAATGTGTGAAACATGTAAAAATTGAGAAGATCTCAGTGGAATAAAAAATTACCAGTCACGCACCAAAGGATGCAATGATCCAATCTGTTTTCTTTTGCTACAATTTGGTCCAAAAACATGTTAACACAGCACGTAGGAATGTAGCCGTGACCATCTGCACTAAACACTGTTTTGAAGCTGCTGAAGTAGTTGAGGTTTCCTGCTTTTATTTTGAAAGTCCACCCAAACATCAAACATGGTAAAAAAACTCTTCTTGTCTTAAGGTTTGGGAAATTCTTTCTCACAGTATAGACTGACACCTTCGTTTTCTCAACAGCTGCTCTAGCAATAAAAAAAGTAGAAATTTCACCACAGTGTCTGAAAGGATTTCCCAACTAGACCCCAGTGAAACCAGCACTGCTTAATGTCTCGTACTTTCCCGGTGTACACGACTTGTCCCTGTGCAGCTTTGTTAATGCTTTTCTGTTGACACTTTTAGTTCACTTTGGGGTAGATCTTTTCATAGAAGAAGCTCTGTGCAAGGACAAAGAGTTCTCCGTCTTTTTCCCTGACGGCGTGGGCACGCACAAACTGAAACTGTTCAAGTGCAAACTCGTAAAATTCATTTTCGATTTTCCAGATGTTTGACTGCTGCAACTTGGCTATTGTCTCTTTGGTGGGGGGCTTCTTCTCTGTGGTCTTCCTAAGGTGGGATTTCTTTCCTGGAGGAACACAAGAAGGTTTAATGATTCCAGGTAGCATGTTGTTACTGCTCTACTAAAAAAAGCATTCAGTCAGTTAAGTGTAAATTGAGACCAGGAAAAGGATTCGTCATATAAAAGTAACTCCAGTACTGACAGGGCTCGTTTTAAGGGCATCACAGCCACAAATAAGAAGTAACAGTATGAAATTGTGTTTTGTTGCTACCTGTTCTGTAGAGATCTGTGGCTCCCTTAAAGAAGCGTGGGAGTGCTGCCTCCAGGATCATGATGAAGTCCTCGAGTTCCTCCGTTACTCCCACTAACAGGTACTCGTTTACCAGGTTGTATTTGGCCTGTTCCAGAGCCCATCTACTGCCCGCGTTCCTGCACAAGAAACGGAGATCACAGTGTGAGTGAGTTTAATTTGGATCGCCTCATCTGAAGGCCAGGCTTTTCTTCTGTTACTTATCTACGTCTTTGACATCACTGCACAATACTCCCTAGCGATAGGTGGGTATTATGCAAAGACTGAGCAGCTTTCTTGAATTCTGCCGTTCTTATTTTCATGCTAGCTCTCTTCCAGCAAACTCTAAATTTTCTCAGTGATGAGCAAAGCCGTTGTTGCATTTAAGGAGCACAATGTCCAGGAATGCTGATCATTAAAAGAAAATGACTACATGAAAGGAAAAATGTCAAACTGCATGCATTAGTAACAAGGTTACTGTGATCACACTCATTTACTGTTTAATTCCTAATAATGAAAATGAATGACTCAGTTTATTTATTATTTATTTGAAAATAATCAAAATAATCTCCAAAGGGAATTCAAAGTCATTTCCAAATTGTACACAAGTTTTTTTCCTTCTTTTTATAACAGATGAGTAATTATGATTTTAGTCACATTTCTAATTTCACTGTACAAAAAGCTAAAAATATACATATTCCTATTGTTGAGGTGAAATTTTAGAATAATGCTGACAAAAAAAAATCTGTCTTTGGCTTTCAAAAGACATTTGAGGGTTATGAGGATGAATGATGAATGTTTTTCTTCTTTTGGAGGATAGGGAGGCTTTAATGAGAAGATCCTAGGTTGGACATATATAAATACTGCTTCTGCCACAGGCTGTTCAGTCACTAATGAGTCTGAGTACACAGATTGTGGACTATATATCTATATATGTGCTGTTTACATCGTCTGTGTAATATGTGATTAGTGAGGAGAAAAAAACCCCAAACAGAACTATACCATATCCTCATCACTGTTTACAAACAACAGATGGAGCCTTTTCTTTCACTCAGCTTGGAGAAAGAATAAATTGTCACACTGCGACTAATTCAAAACAGTCATCTAACATTTTATAACAGACACTGACAGTGAATTACACTTTAGTAGATAGTTAATTACATTACATTCAATTAATCCTTACATTAAGATTCTATTAAGATGTAATGACACTCCTCCATGACTCACTACCTTATTCGTGTTGGAGGGGTTTGTGTGTCCCAGGGGCTATCTCTGGGTGGGGATAGGGTTACCAGGGACGAGTATTTCAGTACCCCTTCAGCTTGCTGCCACTATGTTGGAGTTTTTCCCAGTGAACAGGAGGGTTTGGTTCCCTGAGCCTGTTTCCCTTTCGTTTGCCCTTATGCCCCGAACGACAGTTTAGAGTACCAGACCTTCTTGGTATCCGTGGGTGGAGTGCTTGAGGGTGTTCCACCTGGGGGCTCCGTCGTCTCACTTGGAGACTTGAACGCTCATGTCAACAACGACAGTGAGACCTGAAGGGGCGTGAAGGGAGGAACGGCCTCCCAGATCTGAACCCTAGCGTATCCATAAGTGCACGTGGCATCACGACACCCTAGGCCACAGGTTGATCATCAATTTTGTAAATGTATCATCAGATCTGCAGCAGTATGTTCTGGACACTTGGGTGAAGAGAGGTGCTGAACTGTCAACTGATCACCACCTGGTGGTGTGTTGGACCCTGTGGCAGGGGATGATACTGGAGAGACCTGCGGGCCCCTAAAGGTATAGTGAAGGTGCGCTAAGAATGCCTGGTAGAGGCAATGCTGCAAGGCTGTCTTGGTTATCAATGCCTCTACAATGTTGTTGGAGGTTAGAGGCCATACCTCTGGAATGGATCTTTAAGAAGAGGAAACTGGACAGTGTGCTCCAACTATAGAGGGATCACAGTCCTCAGCCTCCCCAGGGAAATCTATGCCAGGGTGCTGGAAAGGAGAGTCTGTCCGTTAGCTGAACCTCGGATACAGGAGGAAATATGTGGTTTGCGTCCTTTTCACGGAACACTGGACCAGCTCTTTACCCTCTCGAGATTACTTGAGGGTACACAGGAGTTTGCACAACCAGTCTACATGTGTTTTGTGGACTCTGAAGAAGGCGTTTTACCGTGTCCCTCTGAGTCTTCTGTGGAAAGTGCCTCGGAAGTATAGGGCTTCTGGCCCATTGCCACGAGCCATTTGATCCTTGCAAGAGCTTGGTCCGTATAGCCGGCAATAAGTTGGACTCGTTTCCAGGTGGGTGTTGGACTCCGCCTTTGTCACTGATGCTTTTCATAATTTTTAGGGGACAGAATTTCTAGGCGTAGCCAAGTGGTGGAAGGCTTTCACTTGGGCGATCTCAGAATCTCATCTCTGCTTTTCGCAGATGATGTTTCCTGTAAAATAGTCAGATGTCTATTCATATTAATGTACAGAATTCACCTGCTTGCTGCTACTACTGCACATTCACCCAGTGTATATACTATATGTATGTATGTATGTATGTGTGTGTATGTACATATATATATATATATATATATATATATATATATATATATATATATATATATATATATATATATATATATATTAGGGGTGCAACGATATTCGTATCGATATTGAACCGTTCGATACAGTGCTTTCGGTTTGGTACGCATATGTATCGAGCAATACAACATTTGTAATTTATTTTATCAATTTTCCTTCTGGCGATGCTGTCTGTGTTGAGCGCTCAGTGAATCTGCATTCGACTACTCCGCCTAGGCTCGACAGTGCAGCCTAGGCGGAGTAGTCGAATGCAGATTCACTGAGCGCTCAACACAGACAGCATAGTCAGAAGGAAGAGCACAGGGCAAGCTAGCGAGACAGAAGTTAAGCTCTCCCTGCAACAGGCAAATTGAACCTCATTCAGATCTGGCGTTTGGAATTATTTTGGTTTTCATGTGACGTATGACCCTGAAGGTAAGCGAGTCATGGACTAAAGTAAAACAGTATGTTGGATGTGCCATGCAATGCTCAATTACATTGGTATGAACTAGTGTGTTAGCGCAGTTAGCTCGTTAAATGTTGGCCGTCTAGCCCCATGCACGGAGCGATCGGCGGTAGCTCGTTAACGGAGATTTGCCGTGTTGTGGCGTTAAGGTCATTTCAACGAGATTAACCTGAAAGCACTAGTGGGAACACAACGAATATGACTGCACATTTACGCCGACATCATCCTAGTGCAAAAACAAAAACAACAAGCATGCTACTAACTTTAGCCGAGTCATTTAGACAGCTGTTAGCACATGATTCTCCTTATGCTGCTGAGAATATAGCCCAGAAGAAGCGGATAGTATAGCTTTTATTTTGGAAAGAGACATTTCTCTGTAATAAACTCTCTTTTCCAAAGATGAGTGATTCCTCAATCAGATACAGGGCTCGCAATATCGCTAGCCCGACGTCCCGGAGCTAGCGATTTTTTCAGTCGGGCTACCAAAATCTGTCTCTTCCCTGCCCGTCGGGCTATTGTAGGAAAAATAAAGGTCAATGCTTTTGCATTCTTTCAGAAATGTAGCTGGGTAATTATGTCATTGGCATCGGTGAGCCACTGTCAATATGTGACATATTGAAATCGCGTTTGAATTTGCGCTTGTTTTTTTGCTTTCACTTTGCAATCGTGCGAACTGTGTATAGAGAGTGACAGCACTGATCTGTGAGTGATGATAATTTGTGCACCAATTCCTCTGACATCGTCTTATTAATCGTTAGCTTACTATGCAAACATGACAAGTGAAATCTCCCGCAGCTGAGCTTAAGTGAGTGCATGTGTAAAAGCATTTCAGTTCTGCTGAGCCAAATAAGACAGGTCAGGGTGAAGAAGTGACAGCCAAAGAAAAGCTTACCACAAAACGGAGAAGTTATGACAAATCAGACTATAAGGCAAAAAGAAAGTGCAGCTTTATGGTTTCATGGACAAAAGAATTTCTGTGGCTGCGATATGATGAGCTAAATAACCAGGGCTGCACATAAGTGGTCCGCAGGTGCGCATTCGCTGTCAAAATAAAAAACACGCACAAGGGTTAGGGTTAAATTTAAAAACTGTACTTTTGAGTTAAAATATATATTTATAATTTTAATAAATGACAAATAAAAAAATGCATGAACATTTTTTTTGTATCGAAAAAATATCGAACCGTGACACCAAAGTATCGAACCGAACCGTGAATTTTGTGTATCGTTGCACCCCTAATATATATATATATATATATATATATATATATATATATATATAAAATGTTCTTCCTCTACACCCCCCCCCCAATTTTTGCACATGTCGGGGAGCGTGTCAGGCTACATTTCACTGTGTGTTATACTTGTATAACTATGCATGTGACAAATAAAGAACCTTGAACCTTGGTTCTGATGGCTTCGTCAGGTGGTGGCCTCCAGCTCGCACTGAAGCAGTTCGCAGCTGAGTGTGAAGCAGTGGGAATGAGCAACTCCAAGTCTGAAGCCATGGTCCTCTGAAGCTCACAATTGATGGGAGCGGGCGATCGACAGACGGATTGGGTCCGTCGTGGTGAAGAGAGAGCTGAGTGTAAAGGCAAAGCTCTGTATTTACCGGCCGATCTACATTCCTACCCTCATCTACGGTCACGAGCTTTGGGTAGTGGCTGAAAGAATGAGATCATATATACAAGTGGCAGAAATTTGCTTTCCTCAAAGGGTGGCTGGCGTCTCCCTTAGAGACAGGGTAATGAGTTCAGCCATCTGGTAGGCCCTCAGAGTAGAGCCACTATTCCTCACTTTGAAAGGAGTCATTTGAAGTGGTTTGGGCATCTGACAAGGATGGCTCCTGGCTGACGTGTTCTGGGGATGTCCCATCGGGAGGACGCCCTGTGGCATGACCCGGGACATGCTGGACATGCACCCTCTCTACATTTATTTGTATTTCCCATTTTGTCCCTTCGAAACGACTTCTGCCCTGCGCCACTGCTGCATCCCGTTGATGCTAAGCTAGCAGCCTAAACAGGAGTTGTAGCAGTTCAGAGAAAGAGAATGATCGGGCTGTCAGGTGCAGCCCACTCACCAGCACTCTGAATAGTGACCACAGAAGAAAGGGATCTGCAACCACAGTTTCTCCGGAGCACAGTCAGACCCACCTGATGACACACACTCATCAAAGGTCTGAAACACAATGCGAAACGCTTGTCATTGTATTATCCAGACAAAAAACAGGTCATTCGAAAAGGATGCAAGCTGTAAAAGAAGCACCTTCTTGTCTCCTTGTTTCCTTCGTCGAAGGCCTGGTCTGTAGTCATCTCCAAAACGTAAAAAATAGTAGTACGATACAAGGCGCTCTATGGGATCACGCACCACATTGATGTACAGTGGTTTACCTTTCATGCCATGTCTGAACAAAAAGAAAAGGGAGGGCACATTCTTTAAAATCTTTCGAGACTTAATTTATACTTCACTGCAGCAGCACATGAAGCTGTGCTGCTGAATTTTATTGCATTCAAAAAGCATATTCTCCCTAGTGAAAGCATGGAGCAGCATCAGGGAGTGAGAGTGCAAGTTAACCGAATCTCTCTCACTGAGAAACACTTAGACCATTAGAATAATTACCTGTGATCACAGAGATGATAGTGTCAGGGGAGATAAGGACAACAATGCCATTAATCAACACTAAAGCACATGTTAGCGATCAATACGTGACCTCCCTTTATCTGCTCTGCTGGCTGTTTGTAACTAATCTGGATATTAATGGTATTACAGGAAATGAAGGGCCTTACTTTGAGAAGTCCAGATAAGCTACATGGCCGTGGTAGAAGCCGGGCTTCATCTCTCTCCATGAGGTGACGTTCCTGACAAAGCGCACCTGGAGACAAAGATAATGGAAACTAATTACGGAGCCGCGGGGAAACGGAGCCACAACAGAAATGTTTGTGCTACATGTTGCTACAAACTTTACTCAGTTACAGCGCAGAGTTCAAATACAGCAAAAGTGTCAACCCTTCCCAATGAACAAATGAGCATTTGCATTCATATTTATAACTGGAACACATTTTGATAATGAATAATAAATACTAATAATTTTTGGTCATGTGACAGGGTGGAGCCCTGTAGGTCAAAACGCTGTTATAACATGCAGGTGAATCCCAAAGAAGTACATGCCTGTCACTTCTTCGTCTGTTTTCAAGCACAAGCTCTGAACAAGCTGCAGATTTTGAGCACTTGAATTTCACATACAGCTCCAGTCACTAAAACATCCTTGACAGAGTCTTTCCTCTTACACTGCGCCACTGAATGGACAGAATATTTATCCATGCATGTTTTTGGTCTGGATGAGTCACAAAAGCTGCCGTTTAAGGAGAAGAAGTTCAAAGTAGAATGTCAAAGTAAAAACAAGCGTTAAGTAGCTAATGTCCATCCATTTTCTAAACCACTTATCCAATTTAGAGGGCTTGAGCCTAACCCAGCTGTCACAGAGCCAGGATACATACCGAACAGGTCGTCTGTCAGTCCACTGAACGGCTAACATAGAGAGACACAATCGCACTCTGATCTAACATGCGTGTCTTCAGCTTGTGGGAGGAAACTGGAGTACAGAAATTCTTTATCATAAAGATACTACAGAAATGAAACATGAGTATTAATGGTGTACACATTACATGATGATAACGTAATGATCTAAAACTCTGAGATTACTTAAAATGTGTTTATGTAAGCTTGAAAAGAAGTTCTTACTTAAATAAGGCACATAATCTGGTAACATAAAAAAAATTATTTCAATCAAATTCTGGCACCGACGTCTGTATAAAAGGTTCCTTAAGCTGTAACATTGTGTTCAAACAGTGTTCGGATGAAATGAAGATGATTAAATTGTGTGTCTACTAAAAGGTTTCTAAGGAAACTGCACATGGAGCACTAAAACACTGGAAAGTGGATCAGGTGGAACCAAAGCACAAATCACTGAAAATTACTTCATAGATTCATAGAATTTTCTAAATAGAGAACAAAAGCCTCTAAATAGAAAGAATACTGTCAAAGAAAGGCCGTTTACATGCTGAGAGGATGAGCAGCATCTGTGACCAAATGCTGAGGAGAGCAAACAAGGCCAAAAACTTTGAGAGGGTTAAGAAAGACAGATTTAGATGTGAACAAAACTTTATTACAGAAAAGTGAAATGTAAGGACACATACAGAATTATACCACAGCATATCAAGCCCACAGGGAAACAGGGTGATGGGAATATTGAAATCTTCTGGAATAAAACTGGTTTTTCAGTCAGGAAAACAAAACAGAAGCAAACAAACACTAAGCTAATCTGAAGTTCAGGGACTTTTTGTGCCCAAGGCACAACACAAGACCTCATTCACATTTGCAATCATATCTGCTTGTATGAACAGTATTCAGTATACAACAGCCCACAGTTGGAGTTATAAAACCAAGCATGACAGAAAGACTGCAAACATACTGGCGACGCAGACGGTGACGTGCTGAATCACAATATGTAAACACTCTTAGCATATAACAGAGGTGTGGACTCGAGTCACATGACTTGGACTCGAGTCAGACTCGAGTCATTAATTTTATGACTTTAGACTTGACTTGAAAAAATGTTCTAAGACTTGTGACTTGACTTGGACTTTTACACCAATGACTTGGGACTTGAATTGGGCTTGAACCGGTTTACTTGAAAAGACTTGATATTTTACCCCAAATATAAAATTTAACATGCATATTATATAGAGATTGAAAATGTGACGTCATTCACGGGTAGAACCGCAAAGGATTCTGGGAACTCGTGGCAAGCGGTACTAGCGCACGCAGGCTTTCAATTAAAATCAGTTATACAGCAATAAAAAGAAACACAAAAATGTCAAGAAGCTGTTGTATTATTAACTGCAATAGCCGGTCGCATGACAGCCACGGGAAGCCGACGGGTAAAGAGATCGGTTGTTATCGGATTACGTCGTTGAAGAGAAATTGTTCGAGCCATGTTTCCGAAGTAACAAAGACGCGACGGATGGCCTGGATTGCAGCCATTCAAAGACCAAATATAACGTCCCAGAACACTCCAGCTCACAGGTTAGTCTGCTCCAAGCATTTACACGAAGGTCAGTGTTTTTTAGTAGTGAATACGTCACTTTCATAACATAATTGGTGATATAGGTTACAAGCAAGAACAGAAATTGTCGCGCTATGCTCCTTTATTTATTGTGCATAAATAGTAAATTGTCCTGACACAATATTGCGTTTCGCTTCTGTTATTATGGTACATTGACAAAAACATATACTTTTATTCACAGGATAAAACAGGTTTTTTGTATCACTAATTGCCCAGTACGATTACAGCATACAGTATTATTGTCACTGCTACATTTCTGTGATGGGTACCAGAAATTATTTCTACTACTAATTAATTACCGTTGAGCTCAAAGGTCCTATTAATAAACGGTTAACGAATGTGTATTTATGAAGACGATTTGTGAGACTGGTAAACTTATGATACGTACGATGGTCTTTACTTTCTACACGGTGCATTTCAAGGTCCTGCACCCATCCGTCGGTAAACTGTACCTGGGCTTGTTGCAGTGACCGGAAGTTACTAAACTTCATGAGTGTATGCACTCACTCCAAGAACCGTATGATTATAAATATGCATATAAATATGCTAAGATGAGATAGCTGACTTCATCTAACTAGCAAATGTTTTCCAGGCTACGTTGGTGATACAGTTTTTTTTAATGTGTATGATATTTTTGTCATGCGATTTTAAAGCTGGTCCTACAACCGCATCCAAGAATAACATGCAGCTTATCTCAGAACTGTCGGTGAAAATTATTCTTGGAGCTAGGTTTAATTGAGCTGCATTTTAAAGAGGTGCAATTTCACAATTTGTGTATATTTTCTAAGTTCACTATTTTGTCATGTGTTGAGGAAAAACACAGATTTAAAAATTACATGGTCTAATATTTACATTTAGCATAACTGCAACATTATTTTTTTCGTTTTTTTTAATGACTCGAAAGGACTTGAAATTCAAAGTTTCAGACTTGTGACTTGACTCGGACTTTTACACCAGTGACTTGAGACTCGACTCTGACTTGCCTGACATTACTTGAGACTTGACTTGAGACTTGAGGATAAAGACTTGAGACTTACTTGAGACTTGCAAAACAATGACTTGGTCCCACCTCTGGCATATAACGCATCGCTTATAAATGTATTTCATCACAGACACCAAAACCAGCAGTGTTGATAAATATAAACCAAATCTAACCTAATAAAAACAGTCTAATATGTATTACACCATCTCCCTATCACATCCACCACCTTCAGAGCAGAGAGAAGGCAACTGGACTGCGGGTTGATATCAAGCTGGTGGCAGGGTTCAGGAAAGTCTGGTTTGCCTTATATATGATGCTTATTACCTTGAAAGTCAAATTACCGTAATGAATTTCAGAAAATTTGAGCACTGAAGAATGTTAGGGTCAGTTGGTTCCATCAGTATTTAACTGTATAAATGACCAGGATGATGTTAAGTTTTCTTTCAGATTCTGCAAACATGGCCTCTCCACGAATACACTGGATGCGCAGTGGCAGCTCTCACCTGCATATCATCACCACCTGCACATATCCACTGCCTGGTAATAGATGTTTTTATTATAATGCACCAACTCAAATAAAATACACTCACCAAATTACGGTGACACACATCACTGCAGTAAGAAGAACCAATGAACACCAACCTAAATATGATCCATAGATATTCATGGGGTGCTTTGACCATTTGTGGAATGAGGGTGGTAAACATAAAGAGGTTTAGATATGAGGCTGGTGTAGATACATTCCCAGATGGACTATTATTAGTGTGAATGCTTGAAAAGCATTCACAGTATTTGTTCTTCTAATCTTTAAACTATTTTATTATCTATTCCGTACGTTTTTTGTACTCTATCTCCTTCAAAACCGTTCAACTTAGAAAAACCATTCAAACACCGTTAGATTCCTCTTCTTTTGGACATGACTGCTTCTATTTTTCTCATTTTTAACATTTATATTTTTAAAATTATTCAACTTTTTTCAACAAAAATTTCCCATGTATTTCAATGGAGAGACGCTTCAAATTCTCATTCAACTTACTCTTCTTTAAACTGTATCTACTTCCACATACATTGACGTAGAGCCACCATTCAAACTTTAAAACGAAGACAAGACGTTCAACTATCCAACTTGTATTTATCTTTTCAATATCTATTATACTTTTTCTTCAGTTCCAGTTTAAGTTTCATGATGTCTTTTCACCCGTTTCAGAGTTTATAATGGGTGTGTATGGGACGGAATGTTGGGGCTAGAGTGAGACAGCTCAACTGCTAGAGTGAGAGGAGCAAAAAAATTAATCTTAAAATCTTTTTTAAAACTGCTGCTGTGTCCACAGCGTTTACTGTACAGGTATGATTTTACCCTCAAAACGTAGCCATGGCTGTCCTCTTTCATCCAATGTGTTTACTATTGTACTAGGTGTTATGGTTCTTTCATAAATGTCACCAATGCACAGCCTCCTCCCTCCAACTCTTCCATAGACTCTAATGTTAAAATGGCTCAGAAGGTTCGTTTGAAAATCAGAAGTACAGGGTGTCTTTACACTGTCACCACGTCCATATAATAAACTCCACAGGCATGAAAACTGAGAATTCAGTAGACTAGACATTGCTGTCGCTCACGGTGAAAGAATTTCGTCAATACGACTTGTACTTTTCATTTGGGAGCGATTTGTTTGGGGCTGACTTTTCTGTTCATTTTAAGCAGCAAAAGTGAGGTGCATGTCTGTGTCCGTGTATGGAGCCATTGGGTGCAGTCACTATAGCAACCAGGCTCACACGTGTCTGCTTAACGAGCTCTCTCTCACTCTGCCAAGATTCATCTTAAACACTTCTCTTTCAACTGCTGCTGTGTCCACAGTGTTTGCTCTACAGCCATCATTTTACCCTCAAAACGTATCCATCGTTCTTCTCTTTCCAACACCGTGTCTTTCAAAAGCTCAGAGATGTAAACCTTTAAAACTGTGTGGATCCAAGTGGAGGGCTCACATTTTAGTCATTCAGTGATTCAAAGAATATGAACTTTTAATATTCATTCAGGTGTTTTCTGACTCTAAAGTTTCTTTTCTCATTTCTTAGATTTTTCTAATTTACAATTAAAACATTTTCAGCTTTTTTCCAACTTCTTCTTCTGTGTAACCTTCAGCTTTTAGCAGTTCAGCACTTTTGTTTTCACGTTAAATTCGTTTTTTTTTTTTTTTTATCATTCAACATTTTTAACTCAAAATTCAGCAATTAATTCATTTCAGTGCATACATTCAGATTCAAGCATTCACACTGCAGTTTCTTCAGAAAATGCACTTTCTAGTTATTATTATTATTATTTACAAAGTGGAATATGTACCTTTTTAAAATCTGCCTTTTATTTGCTCAAACTATTTTTGTTTTTTCTGCTCACGCTTAATATGGAGCCCATCCACTCTTTGATTAATGAGGCCCCTTGGACTTGCTTTAGGGTACACCACCAGTCTAAACCAGCGGACCAGTACCGGGCCGCGAGAGTTGAGGCTCGGGTGTGAAATCTATGGTTTTCAGGGTTTTTATCGTTAACTCTGTTTCCCTGGGTCTTTTCCCGTTGTTGTACTTCTGTCTTATTTTGAAAGAAGTATTTACGTGTTACCATAGCGACCAGAGAGCATTAAGGGGCAGAGAGGAGGATGTTAGTCGCATTTCAGGAGGATGCTGCTAATAAAGTTACACAATTACACTGTGAATTTGCGTTTATTATTATATTTACAAATACCACCGTTTTTGTCTTGGTCGTATCATTTTATTTTGTTGGCGCAAAAAAGATTGGGGACCACTGATCTAAACTATTAAATAACTAAACGCCTTAGACGTTATAAACTTTAGCTTCTAGTGTAAATTATGCCACTGATCAACAGCATAAAAACACAACACATTACACACATGGACAATATTATGGACAATTAATTATGACATTTGAAACATACACAGATTAATATCACCCTACACTATTAATAAATATCGCAAAGTCAAACATACCTTGGCTGGACTGGATGTTTTAACTTGATACAAAAGTGTTCATATGTAAAAATGAATCTTGGCCGTGACGGGACTGCAGACTGTTGTTTACCCTCATACGTGTGTGTGTGTGTGTGTGTGTGTGTGTGTGTGTGTGTGTGTGTGTGTGTGTGTGTGTGCGTGCGTGCGTGTGTGAGGTGGGGGTGGTGAGTAGGTGCGAGCCTGTTGTGAGACGGCAGACAGGATATTACTTTGGCAACTACAAATAACACCACTATAGCTTCAGGGCATTTACACTGTGTGAACTGAGCTGCTCTCAGCAGTAAACATTCACTAAGAGTAACAGGATGCGGAGAAAGACACAGACAATTCTCAAACCAAAATATCATCAGGTTTCATTATTTTCAACGTGCAAACAAACACACCGGAGAGAGGGATTCATTAACAGACAACAGCCGCAGATGATTTTCCCTTCCACCACCACAGAGTACCTTTTTCATGAGTGATGTGGATCATCAGAATAGCGTGAAATTGGCAACTCTGTTTATTACAAGTGTTATTAATGAGAATAAGAGATGCAGCAATGTGCCAACACTGGCACAAAAGCAGGAAAGGGGATCGCTTGCAAGTAAACAAGGAAGCAAACAGGATACTAAATGTTAAAACTTTAAAAACACATTTTCTCTGACCTGAAGATTGCACATTCTTAAATATTCTCTCTAGGACTTCAGCATGTAAGAGTTGCAGAAATATGTCAAAAACAAAGTTAGCTCAACCTAGTGAGATGAGGGACAATAATGAATATTTCTAAGATACAGAAGAAACATTAGTGGAAAATACTCCACTGCGATCTGTCTAGGTATAGAAGCATAAACAGAGCCTTTAAAAATGTATTCCTGCGCAAAATATAATAAACGTTACTCTGTCATTTTGGCTGAGTGTGTGAAGTCTTACTTGGTCTTGTAGAGACATGACAGGGTTGTTCTTGGTTGTGTTGATGTGCAGAACGTGGAAGCGATTCTTCCCACACAGGTCGTAGGCGATGTTAGTGAAGGACGTGCTGGCTGTTTTGGGCACTCTGTTGTAGATGATGACCGTGTCGTCGTTTTCTACTATCGGCGAAACTTCCCGCCCACCCCCGTATTCGCTGTGACGCTGCTCTACTTCGGCCACCTCGTGTCTGGCTATGGTGCGTTCTGAACAAGCAAGTAAACACAGTCTGTTGTTAACATTTTAATTAAACAGCGCACAACTGAATAAGCACAATATTATAATATTCGATTTAGCACTAAAAAAGGACAGTCACTCCAGCTTATCACACCACCATGAAATAGTCAGTCAGTAGTTTTAGGGAGCAATTTGCATGCCAGGTAGCTGGATGTTGTTCGAAGAGATTTATTTAACCTTTATGTCTTCCTATGCGTCTTCTTTGTATTTGCTGATTAGCTAAACAGCTGGAATGAGTGAGGAGCAGGAGCAGACTGGCAGCTGCCAGATGAAATAAACCCTGAGATGAGATTCTCCCCTCCCACAGGAACATGGCATAAGGCCAGTGAAGCTTGTTAGTTAGCATGCCTTAATTAAAGAAAACAACAAGTCCTTCAAAGCACAATAACATCAAAACAAGTAATTAGGCTTTTGATGATAACATTGACAGGAGGCATAATTAAAGGTGTTTTCTCCCTCTTCTTTTCTCCACTGCAATGTTAATTAAAGACAATTACGCGAATGGCCTTGTGTCTCTTAGACCGGATGTGTGGCGCTCAGTATGCTGCAACATCCAGCAGTCCAGCAAATCCTTTACTGTCTGACATGATGAAGGCTGATGAAGCTCGGGGGGTGGAGGCTGTTTGAGTTCCTTTTGTCTCCATTTTAAGGCAGATGGATGGTCACTTATATTAAAGATTAAAGAAAATGGGATGTGTGCATATTTTTCTGTTAGGCGTGTGTTCCTGGTAACTTATTTACGGGTTGATTAAATGGAAGAAAAAATAGTCAGACCAGTCTTTAAGCAAGAACGACAGTGAAAGCAGTCCAAATTGAGCACAGTGTAAGTGGTGAGGTTAAACTAATGCATTTGTATTTAATGAGAGCCGCTTGAAAGCATATTTTGTATGACGTAAAAATGTCAAAATGCTGTTGAGATGGCTATGGAGCCGAATCTGGAACAAAATCTTTCTCAAGAAAAAAGATTAAACTAAGTACACTGGCAGGCGTCAGTGCTACTCAGCATCCTAGTAGATACACATATGACTTCTTGTTATCGAATTCAGAAGATTTTCAGGGAACCTTTGATGGCTGAGGAATAAAAATACTGAAACTACAACTTCAACAGTTTATTCAAACTAAAAAAAACATGTACAGTTATTTTTTTCTGTGTTAATTTCCTGTAAGCATTAATTACTTTCATCTTTACTTTGATACAGTATAACTTTTGATATTTAAGATCATGATTTTTTCAGTTGGAAATTTTATGTTTGCAGATTTGGGTGTGTTTTTAGCCTTTTAAATCATCTTTGATTGATGAGTTTTGGCCTTGATCTCGCAGGGCGTCAATGTGGCATTAACTGAGAGAAGGGTGGAATCATGAGCGATGACTTCAGATATGTTGTGGAATGCACACAATGTCTGTGTAGGTTCTCAGTCATCCAGGTCATGGAAATTTAAGGCACTTGGAAAGAAAAGCGACTGGACTTCCTCTTTGAAGAGAAAGGAAACCTCAACATTGAAGTTTACCGGAAGCCCACACACCCAGATCAGTACCTATTCTTTGACTCCCACCACCCTCTGGAACACAAACTTGAAGTAATCAGGACCCTGCAACACTGAGCCAAAAACATTCCCTCTAAGCCAGAAGGGAAAGAAAGGGAACACACATAGGTAAAGAAAGCACTTAAAATATTACACCAACTAAGGAGAAAATGAATGACAAACAGAACAATATTGTTATCTCTTATGTAGCAAGTTTATCAGAGAAACTCGGGAGAATCTTCTCCAACTATGACATCCCAGTATACCTCAAACCCACCAATACACTCAGACAAACACTGGTTCTTCCCAAGGACAAAACTCCTAAACAAAAACTAAACTACGTAATATATGCTGTTTTCTGCATCGAGGAGCGCTCAGACCTCTACAGTGGAGAAAACAAAGAGCCAGTCTATAAACACATGGCACAACACGGAAGAGCCACCTCAACAGGACAAGACTCAGCTGTACATCTGCATCTAAAAGACAAAGAAGACAGATGGACTGAAAGAGCCATCTACAGTGGCTTGCAAAAGTATTCGGCCCCCTTGAACTTTGCAGTTATTTATTTGTAAAAAATGTTTGGAATCATGTATGATTTTCGTTCCACTTCTCACGTGTACACCACTTTGTGTTGGTCTTTCACGTGGAATTCCAATAAAATTGATTCATTTTGCAAGCCACTGTATGTGCACAGAGGGGGTGGCTTCCAACACCAACTGTCTGCCACCCGCAATCCAGTGTTGAGATCCCTTCCGAAGCACCTTAACACCCACTCACGTCACTTGAGCTCAATAGGTCACAGGACAGGGTGAGGCAAGGTCTTAAAATGGTTTCACCCAATACCTCTGTTAATAATGACCCACACCCTTTTTCATACCTTGGCTCATGTGATGAGTCTACGACCCTCTTAAGGGACAACTCCCAATACAGCTTAAAAAGCTGGGACTCTCTGCCATTTGGACTTAAAACTGAAGAAGCTTCTCAAATGAGAGGTGAAACATCTTCTATTCTATTGTATTCATTTGTATTATTTTAAACATTAAAATACTTAATTATCACTTCCACAACATCTGCTTGATTAGGCTTATAAAATGCGGATGACCAGGGTTAATTTTCTTGGTTGCCAGGGCGACACATCCCCTCTGAATAAATTTAGTCAAAAAAAATGTGATAATTATTATCCTTGAATATAAACTAATAAGATTTATTATAAGTCACTATTTCACATTTTGCTGTGAGCACATATTCCCGATATACACGTGTACAGCTCGCTTCAATCAAACTTTATTAGTAAGTGATGAAAAACACTGTTTGTGTTTATCTTAGAAGTCCATTGCACAAAACTACTACTAATCTTCTGGTTTCTAAACGGATATAGCCTCCAGTGTCAGCGTTTTTCAGTGTCCCAAATTTCTTCTAAAGTTGGGAAACGAGCTCAAACTTGCAGACACACAGAGCCAAATGAAGATCAGATCCTGCTGTAGATGATTTGGCCTCACAGAGCTCTGATCCAAACAAAATGATTCATTGCAGCATTTCTGTGTTCAACCACGCTTGACGTTTTGTGCTTGTAACCCAACATGGAACTTGTCTGTGTTTCCAGGAATCTTTACTGAATATTAATGTGGAATGTCTGGCAGTCTGCGCAGGTGATGGCTGCACTCTGTTTTCACATTTGAAAGGTACAAGTGAAAGAAGTAATTGTGCAGTAAGGAATCAACATGGCTAGTTTACAAAAAGTTGTCATCACTTGTGTGTACTTTTCTGCAATAAATGTTTAAAATTACTTTTGAAAAAAATGTCTATATATTATATTCTTATGTTGATGACCAAAGATTCTTTGGTGGGTGCCAAGTTTTTATTTATTTATTTACATAAACAGGGAAAACCCTGTGCTTGAAGGGATATACTTCTGATGGGTGGAAAAATATGGATTTCCATCAAAATCAAAATTAAAACATACTGGCGTTGTTTTCAGGTTTATCCTTTTCCAATTAGGTCAAATCCGTGTACACAATTAGCCTGGGGAGGCTTTGGTGCATAAGCTTATTGAGACTGGAATATCTATGTATGTGTGTCACATGTCTATGTTGATAAACACTACTCTTCTAAATTATCTTACAGTCTTACAATCTGATGATAATAACAAAGAGTATAATAAACACTGAATTCAATAATAAGCAAAGCCACTATGGAAACTAGTTGAAACCAAACTGAACTGAAAATAAAAATGAAAATAAATTGATCACAATAACGTCGATGTTTGAGGACTTTCAGCATTGTTATGTAAATGATTTTTAAGTTTTAAAAATCTCCTGACTTTTTTCCTATAATGTAATTTTTGGTAAAAACTTGTCCGAATGTTTTCACTTTTTATAAATTACAAATTCTATGTTGCATTGCCGCAGTTTTCAAGCCTCAATAAGCTGGGTTACTAGGTGAACCCACCTTTGCTGTGGTCTTACCTAGTTTGGCTCTGGACTCGTCCAATTTCTGGATCTGATTCTCGATCAGCAGCATCGCCACTCCGAATGCCAAAACAGCCAAAAGCTGGATCTTTGGCAGCATCATGATCCTTAAAATCCCCATCAAACAACCGAATGAATCATGCCGTGGATGCCGGTAGCTTCAGGTTTCACATCCACTGATAACGTTTAACCCAGCACAAGCGTCTGCTGCTGGAAACTGGACTGACTCGGATGTTTTGATTTATATATTGCAAATCGAAATCCGGACGCCGAGGTTAGTTGCTGAGCATCATTAGTAGATATAGAGCTCAGCAGCCATCCTGCAGGGTTAACTCAGCGTTAGCAAAACAAACTAACAGCAGCTAGCTCCGTGCTAACACTGGCCAACCTCACACTACCGGCATATTTCAAAACCAGCTTCGCTGTTCGTGTTTTATTTTGGACTTAACCTGCTTTGCCAACCGCGAGTTCGTGCTGAGCTCACAGACATGAAGGCAGTGAAACACAGGTGACTGCATGAAAGATAACCGAGTCCAAACTAAGCTTCTAGCAGGAGTGTCGCTTCTTCTTCATCCTGTGTTTTCATTGGACAACCTCAGAAGAACTCTAAAGGCTCATGTCGCCACCTACTGGACGGCAGTGTGTGCAACAATTATTCCCCACAATGCATAGAGAAAGTTCACAAGATGTTAGTGAGACAAGCTGTTTTGTATGATTTGGAAATGGTGGCGCTGACAAAAAGAAAGGAGGCTGAGATGGAGAAGGGTCACTGGGAGTAACCAGAATGGACAGCATTAGAAACATGTCAGAAGGACAGTTCAGGACAGGTGCTTACAGAGTTAGAGAGGCAAGGCTGAGATGGTGTGGACATGTGCACGGAAGAGAGAGCGCATACAGTGAACAAAGGTTGCTGAAATAGAAGCTGCCAGGCAATAGAAAAAGCAGAAGACCATACAGAAACAGGAGGGTGCTTGGGATAGGGTGGGTAAGGTAGATGATCCATTCCTGCCCTAAAGGGACCAATCAAAAGAAGACGAGACGGAAAATAAGTAAAGGTTAGAACCACCATGCTTAGCCCAACAGTCCAATAGATATATAAAACCTTAATTTTGCTGTCTTTAAAGATGGTTCATCATCACTGACTATACAAAAACCATATTTAAATTCTTACACTGCTGTTTCTGTCACAATCTAAGAGGTATAGTTATGCATGTAATTTAATAAATGTAGTATTTGTTTAGTTTTTTAGAAAACAAAGTCAGTAAATAAACTCAATACAATAGTTCAGATATACACGATTCATTAAAACAACCCAACAAACATATTTGTGGTATGTAAATACACAGAAAGTTTTAAAGATGTGCAGAAACTTTGTTAAAACACATCTAATCTACTACAATCCAAGGGTTGATCATGTGACGCTCACACATTTTAAGTTACTTCTGACTAAAAAAAACACACTGTTGCAGTCTGGCTCTCATGTGAGGACACAGGACAACCCCAAAAATAACAGAAGGTTTGCTTTACATTCCATTATAAGTTCGACTATCAACCATGTGTCTTATTTTTGTATTTTTCTCTATATAAATAAAGACATTTCCTTCATAAATTAATGCAAAAAATGTACCAGAAATTAAGAAAGGTAAGTTTGACAAATTTCCACAAGGAAGTACTTGAATGAAAGGTGCTACTCTGTTTTTAGCAATAACTTTTCATCTGATTTAAAGGTTTTTCTCCACTATGATTATGGTAGCAAGGTAGTAAACGGTTAAAAATATTATTTATTTTATAAAAGGTTACATTAAGCTGGAAACAAACAAGGAAAAAGAAGTTACTTTCCAAATCTGAAGAACTACACCCCTGAACCCTGGATAACTGCAACCTTAGCAAGAAGTGTATTTGCATAATTGCAACAGAGATCCTTCCACTTGAACCTGATCTTGGCAGATTTTGGGAAAAGATGAGAATTTTGGTATTTTATTGTTATTAGGAGGAGTTAAGAATCTATTTTTATGAAATGTCTTTATAAATCAAGAACTGTTTTGGTGGCAGTGATGATTTTAATCATTTGGGAAATCCATGGTTTAAAAGCTTGTAAAATATTTCATGTTATTTATTTAGTATTGTTTGCATGTTATGTTGTTACTGGCTGTGTATTTTGCTGTTTTATTGTAAGCACAAATCTTCTACAGATCTCTTAAACTGTTTGTTCTGTTTTAATCTCTTAACCTCATCCAATCTATCACCTGCTTTATGAAGATGTTTAACTTATATCACATCTCCATCTCAAAGAGTTATTAAAATGCTGAACATGCTCTTAGTTCTCCACTACATTGCACAACTGACATAGTGTGGAGGCCTCTTCCCAATTAAACACAGAGGGGAATGAATGTAATTTGGATCTGTGGGTGAGTAAAGATGAAAAACCTTACAGGATTTTTGAATTTCAGGCAAAAGCCAAATATTTAGAAACTTGAGATGATTATAAAGAAACTCAAGTTTTTCACCATTGCAGCTATTCAGAGGTCTGACAACTGATTTCTGTAAGTGAATGCATGTTTTTGGTATTGTACTGATAACGTTGTCAGCAGAAGTTCAGGTTGCTGACGGAACTCGGGCTTAAAAAAAAGCATGCATGAGGTGGTGGTAACAGAGCTGATCCACACCTCAAAGGTCAAACAGAAGTCTCATTGCACGTGTGCTGTTCACAGATAAGTTAACTTCCTTGTCCAATGTGAGTAGGGAAGAGGGGGGAGATACCAAAGTGAGTTATCAGAGCATTGAGATGTATCAGGTAACCTTTAGTTTCCCTCATAAATCTGTGTTGTGAGTTGGATCTTGACGCTTCCTCTCAGTGAACACAGCAAACTCAAATTGTATAAGCGGCCATTGGATGCGAGCTTTGACCCTAGAAGATGTTTGAGAACAACTAAAGTGTAGTAAATGTATTCCAGCCAGTACCCAGGGTTTTAAACGACACCTCACTAGAATGATAAAAACAAAAACCCCTGCCACATGACAACATCTGCTCAGATGTTGATCACAATATTTTTGAGCATCTTAAGGATACAACTGAACCAGCCCGGGTCAGAGAGGTACCACCGCTAAAGCCCACAGATCCAGAGGTCTAACCTCCAACATCCTAATGCAAAGCAACCAGTTTCAGAGATCTGCTGTCCACTCAACGACTGGCTACAGCTGTTTTAGAGTTATGGAGAAGGTTTTAATATTGTGGCTGATCTCTCTTAATTATTTTCTACATTAAATAGTGTTAAAAGTAGTTATTGTTGCTTTTGAATTTTTACTTCTATTTACTTTTTTTCCCACTACAATTCATATTTTTTTCAACTACGGTGGTCATGTAGAGGTTCACATTTCTAGTTTTTAGACTTTCAATTAAGCTTAGTATTTCTGTCAAATAACTAACAGATCTTTGGCTTTGCTGGGACATGTTCTAGAAAAACTGCATCATTGTGCTTTGGTCGCAGCTGGACTTGGATACGCAGTAGAATCATTTACTGATTTCATCACGGTAGTGCTCACCAAACCCACTGTCGCCTTATAGATGTGGAATGCCCCGTGCCTCATTTTAAGGATAAAGGTCATCACTCATAACAACTTCCTATTGATTTGGAGTAATACACTGGGTACATGGACACATGGATTCAAATTATTTATACTTTTACATTTTTATTTTATGGTCCTGCTATTTTAAAATCAGGAGTGTTTGGATTGCACTGTCATACAGGGATGATTATTAGGCTTCCAACATTGGGAGAAAGAAAAACCGCCCAAATATTTTGTTTTCCTGCATTTTTTTAAGGAAGGTACTGTAGATAAGATCAGATTCTTAGAGTGGTCAGGAAATAAGAACAACAAAAGGAAAAAAGATCTTCAATCGTGAATTTACGCTTCATTAAAAAAGCAGTGATGCTGAACTGATCCGCTAGGTGGTGCCAGAGGTCCGGGTATGAGGACATGTTTTCAGTAAAAGAGCCATTTTTCAAAGACCAGTGTGATGGAAACTGGGCCCTGTCCGCTGGACGTTACTGAAGAGCACTATGAAATGTAATGGGTCCATGCTCGGCCTTGTGGCCCCGGCCTTGCAAAGCTTTAGATTACTGGTTTTTGGACCCCCAATGGACTTCAGGCTAGAAATCCTCCAGAAAGGTAATATTTTTCATAGTGAACTTCAAGACTGCAGCCAGTCGTCAGGTGTATTTGTAAAACATCTGAATATTTGAAATCTGTCTGTGCATAAAATGTCAGAAAGAAACGAAAAACAGGGATTATTATTCTTTTAGTGCCAAATGAACCTATTTAGACATCTTTAGTTGTCTGACTAACTTTCAGAAACTTCCAAATGTGGAGTTTATACCACAGAAACATGCAAAATGATCAAATATTCACATTTAAGAAACTAATTTTCTGTCAAATAACTAATCAGCTAATTTATTCAGCTCTAGAGTAATCCCTGGTGCCTAGGTGTCGGTGAAAATATTACAATTTTCATGCATTGTAAGCAAGGGGCAAGAAAAAAAAAAGCAATACATTATTGTAATCATATTATTTGTCTAAAGAAACACTGTTCATAAAATCATTGCCCAATTTGTTATTATTCATCAAACAATTGTATCACTTTAGTTCAGGCCTTTTCTGTTGTGAGTGGCTGTGTGCAGACAGGAATAGGACCCAAGGTGCAGACTCCGGAGACAGATGTGAACTCAAAACAACTTTAATGTTAAACTCAAATATAACATAACTGGAAAAATCAAAATAAACTTACACCGGCAGACTGACAGAACACACAGCTAAGTAAACAGTAGCTCACAACACAGACACAAAGAAACACAGGGCTTAGGAGCAATCAGGGAATGGGTAACAGGAGGGAAACACAGCTGGGGCAAATCAGAACTGACGAGACAAGGAAGCGTAAACTGAACACACTGAGATAAGACAGAGACCTTCAAAGTAAAACAGGAAACACAAAACACAGACTGAACAAAAGACACAGACTCACATGCAGGCACTACAGTGGGACCAGGGCAGACACAGACACTGACTGGACACGGGGATATAGCAACTAAGGATACATAGAGATGCGAACTAGACAAGGGAATACAGCTGACAAGGGAGACAGAGCAACTAGAGAAGACAGAGACATAAACCATAAGACAGAACTCAAAGAAACCAAAGACTAGAAATGATAAATAATATAATAAACTCAAAAACCCTGGGTCAACGACCCAAGCATCCTAACATTTTCGTGTGTGCTTTTGCCATAATTGTGACTTTAGATCAAAGTACTGTGGATTTGCTTTGCAGAAAGGACAAGATTGAGATTGCAAAATTGCAGTGATCAGGTGTAACATATGAACACGCGAGGTTTCATACTGTTAATGTGCCACATTACTTTTCTTAGGGAGTTAATAAGTAATGCATGAGCAATACTTTGCAATCCCAACGCAGTTACATTTACTTAATAACTGGTGAAGCTTTAGGAAAAGAAAATAGAACATGATTCTGCTGTGCCAAAAATTGTTAAGCAGAAAAGAAGCTTAAGAAGGGTTGTCTCATAGTCTCAATAACTTCCTTTAAAATTAAATTAAAACAATTAATGACTCACTTTAAGAGTGATTAAATGTTATTAAATGTAACTACTACTTAATACTTTCATTAATTTCAATTATCAAGAAATGTGATTTCATGCAAATCACTGAAACTCTCTTTGCTGGATTTAAGGGCATAATCCAGCAGAGTAACAGACAGCTGTGCTGTCGTGGTATGAAAGATCAGTCCTGTTACATCTGAACAGTCAGCAAGGATTATACCAAAGACACAGCATCTATCTGAGGAAGGAGCACAGATTTTATTCAATTACACTGAAACAATGTGGAAGTAATTTTATTTATCATTGGGCGCTGCAGGGCAAGAGATAACATGTAACTGATGACCACTTGTTTTGATAACGCTAATAGGATAAACAACACAATAATCAATATGAGTGTTGTTTCAGATGGTTGGAGCATGACTTGTATGAAAGCAGAAATAAACTGTTTTGGCTTTTGATAAATGTAATTTCATTTTTCTCAAGATTTCTTTCAAGTACACATTTTACAAAGTGCAGAAAATTTAATCATGTTAAAACTTTCAAAGTATAAGAGTGTCAAAACTATGGTGCAGTCTTATGAAAAATCAGCTGTCCCTAAATTAATTACTACATTATATGTACATTTCACAAGCCTCTTCACACTCATTTTCCACTGGTTAGTTTCAAACTGTACAAACCTACTAAATGTCGCTGCACCATTAGAACATAACCAATGTCCTAGAAAGTAAACACTTCAGTATATATGGCTCATAGACTGTATGGTGAGGAGGGAGCTCTGGCTAATAAAGTCCTGTCTGGAAAACAGTAGCAGATCTTGGTATTTTATAACACTTGCTGAGTTGTCTATCAGATTCTGACTGAGATTATTTCTTTTTGCAACCAGAAGAGTGGCCCCTTCAAAATACATTTGCATTTGTTTTACTTTTCAGACCCAGAAGCTATATTCATGCTCAAGAGGAGAGTAAACTAGCCTCTGTAAAAACAAAGCCATTGTATTTTTATAGGTTGTAAAATAATCCCTAAAACAGTAGTTTTAGGTGGATAAAAGGCCTTAAGGTTAGTCATGTTAGAGCAGGTATGACTTTGCTGCATGTATGAATGCACATTAAAATAATACATTCATAAAATAAACTTTAATTCCATTTAACCAATAGTACCAACAACAACATTTGGTCAGTTAGGCAAGAATTAGACATGACATTTTCTATTTCTATTTATTTATTATTTGTTTATTTATTAAAGTATCAGGTTAATTTGGCAAACATGTTGTCTTTTCCACTCCAGTTCAAAATGGGGATGCATTAGCAAGCTAATGCTAATTTGCTAATGCTAACGTTGACTAAGCTAGCTGGCAACAGTAGCTGCATTTTGAAAAAAATAGTATGATGTTAAGGAAGGGTCCATAAAGAGACTCTGTAAGACTTTGTAAAGAAAAGAAAGGTCCACTTAAAGAGGGTCTCAGATACAATTTAACCGTGGTTCCACTGAGCTGATGTGTGTCTAAATTCCTCGAAAGGCATAGCAAAGGTTTGTCTATTAAGACTTTGACTGGAAAGCCCCAACCTGGAAACAGACCTTCATCCAAGTAAGTAGAAGATACGTTACTGACATAATATCACAAACAAAACTGTTAAAAAAAAACTTGGGAGCATTTAAAACAAGAGGTGGGTCATGTGAAAAATAACGTTTTCGCAAGACTGTTCCTGTGAAAAACTAAACTCCACTTCATGATTCAGTAACTTGAATGATTTTCTGTATGACTCAGTCTCACGTTGTTGTGGAAGAATTTCACAACAACTCATCAACCTTCACACACCGTGCTGACGGATGTATGAACACCTCTGCTTGGAAGAGCCATACTTGTTCAGTGTTTTTCTAATTTAACTGTCATGAACTTTAACATTTACATAATAACTAAAGACTGTGGATTCTGAGATGTAGCTGCTGGAGTTTTCCAACATCTCTGAGCACTGTACAATCTGACCTTGAGGTGAATTTGCAGGGACATTATGTCAACACACGTTCGACAGCTCGAGACCAGCAAACTGCCAAAACCTCTGCTTTTGTAGAGGCGCTCACACTTGCTGATAATCAGTAAATCAAGTACATTTAATTAGCATATGGATTTCTTAATTTCTGTGGGAGCAGTAGGTAGTAGTAGTTGTTGTATTGCATCTTAGTGCTTCCCTACTGGGTAGATTTCACAAGAACCTGTGCAAATATCCCTTTGTTTTAATTTTTAATTTTTTATCCCTGTCAAACATGACATTTGCACATTCCTCCACTGAGTTTAATATATGCGTTATGTGTTGTGCTACTGAATTTAGTGTCAGAACAGGTAAGAATCACCTTTTATTTAACACAGACACACATACAAAATATACAGCACAGACTTTATAATTGTGATTACATTTGAAAAAGTAACATGAAATTAGGCCTGAAACCGGTCTTCCAAATTAAAGTAGAGAGAAATAAAAAATGAATGCTGAATGTAGAAAAGTTATCACAGAGCGTATTAAAACAGACATGGTTCTACACGTAGTCAAACCTCTGGTTTGTCTGCCTTTCATCCATACTCTGAGCTTTGTAGGAGTCGTTGTAGACGGGCCGGGATCTGGTGTCAGGCCTGTACATCGTGTTCTGGGAGGCAGCTTTGTAGGCCATCCCATCATACCTGAGGGATAGCGTCACATACATCAAACACTGAAAATATAATCTATGTGCGTACTGTATTTTGCCCTATTTTGCAGTTTTCACATCTCTGCTACTTTATTGTTCAGGAACAGAGAGGTTACTGTCCCTACCAATCTTTTTAAAGATCACAAATAGTTATAAATTACCGGTGTTTCTCTGGTGTCATTGCACGGCAGGCTAGGCACATCAAGATGCCACCGATGAACAAGATAGCGCCACCAATCCAACCCACGAAAAGTGCAGGGCCAAAAGTATACCTGAAAGATTATTAAGGTTAAACATTACCAAAATTAATTCAGCAGGTAATATATTACTATATATATATATGCTAATTTCAGTTTATCTTTACCTTGGCGTCAGAGCTCCCGTTAGTCCACCAACATTGCCTGTACTGCTGAATCCACTGGCAAATGTAGTGAACTGAAAACTTTGTACAATCAAATTAGCAAAGGCTGACACCCCAGCAATCCCACAGACACCTGAAAAAAAATCCGAATTAATGCTGGTATTATCGCAAAACCGTTCTTCTTCGATATCACCTGAGCATTGTTAGTGAAGTAACCTGCAAGGAGAAGCATGATCCCAGCCGACAGAGTCATGGTGGCTTTCAAGTTGTCCTCCATGTTCCCCATTTTCAAGCACTTCAGCGAGAATATGGCGATCAGTAAGCCGATAGCGCCAAGGACGATCCCAACAATCATCAAGGCTCGGACGGCTTGGAGCAGAGCTGAAAATCAAAGTTATGACATTTAGCATATGTTTAGGATATATCTGTTTGTGAGATTGGTATTACCTTGTAGATACTTTAAGATTTATCAAAAAGAAAATGAAAAAAGAAAAAGAAAATGCTGCCAATTAACTCAATGAGTTTAAATAAATAAAAGATATACAATATTCAAACAACCCAAACCTAAATATATTTCAAATGAGTAGAAAATTGAACTGTATTATAATACATAAGTTCAAATTTTAGGTTTAAATATTTCTGGAGTGTTGCAAGTTAAGCATGCATGTTAAAATATCTTCTTTTTATGGTTAATGTACTGCGCTGTATGTTTTAGAAGGCAACACTGTGCCTTGTACAGCTTCAGTTATTATGTACTAAAGGTAATATATACAAAAAATGTGATTATGATTTGACTACGCAACATTATATTAAAAGGTTTAAATTAACTTTTACTCAGCATCATTTATATTCATCCAGTCATAATCAGCTCTTTTTAAAAACCACTTGAAGTTTTGACAATACATTTCGCTAATTATATTTTTGTACTTTTACTTCTGAGTACTTCTTTGATCATGGCCACCATAATACAAATCACACACTAGAAACTAATTATAACTGTAAGGTAGCAGCTTCAATAGTTCAATATATTTTGTCACAGGAAAACGGCAGGTCGGCCATCATTAAAAGTTTCCGCTGAAGATAATATCTGGCATGAAAGAGACAAGAGATATCGTCATTAGAAACTGAACTTGCTTTTATTTTCGTAATTAGTTTGAAACCGTGGTTAAAATGAGTAAAATGTAATACAAAAAGAGATCAAGGTGTTTTACAGCATAATACAATCAACTATTATGCAAGGATTTCTACCTTCTTCTACATATATTATGGAAATATATGAATCCATAGACATACAAGAATAACTGGGCTGAATTACAAGTTTAGCAGTAGTTCTAAAAAGTCTCTGAAAGGGGATCAAAATCCCCGGCAATAATAAATATATTAGTTTTACTGATGCACATGTGCATCATGAATAGAGGCAGGAAAAGCCCGACACTCACGGCATTCACTTTCAATTAAAATGTTTTAAAAAGGGAGAAAAAAAAGCACATTACAGTTATTTCCCAGCACTCATAAATCAAAGCAGCGTGTGGTGAAACACACTGAACTAAATGCCATCTTTCAGCGTCCTCAGATATTGTACCTGTATTATTCTAGATTTAATCCCTTAAGACCTTATATACAATATGCTCTACACTACATTCAGCTGTTAAGTACAGAGTGTGGAAATGTACTTTACATTGTGTGACACTCTGCTAAAGCTTGTGCTTGCTCAGCTAAGCTTTGGATGTCTCATCAAATTTCTATTTGATTCCGGAGAGACACCATCTTTTCTGCAGTCGACTGCATTTTTATTCCAGGGCTGGTCGGAAAAGTGGCAGGGGGTGGAAATGGGGGGGAAAATCTGCCCTAAAACCTCCCAAATATTCTAAAGTACCTTCCGAGGTCCTTTAGAAAATGTTCTCCTTAATCCGACATGTCGAGAAATATTTGATAAATGTCTTTTTCTCTTGGAGTGTAATTCTCTTACCTGGCAGGCCAAGTATGGTGAAATAAGGCCGACACTGTGTGGTACCGTACGTCGTCCCTACACACGACTTCCATAAACCAGAATAGGTATAAAAATTTGTTATTACTGTAAAAGATCGGTCTTGTAAGCTCCACTCGTCCATTGTTGTTGCAGCCGATATTAAAAACAGGCCCAACGTCGACAACATGAATCCTATTAACTGGGTCATTGTGGCAGCCATTTTAGATGTTCCACTCAAACTGAGTTACCACCAGAGTCAGACAGTCATGAAATGGCAGTGTTTGACTGCTGCCTGCTGTTATGTAGGCTTCGACATGGAACAGACCTTATCTGATGTTTACCCAAGACTTACTTCCAGGTTCCGGGAAACTGTGGGGAGTACATTTTCCCCTCCTTTCGAAACAGGGTGTGAAAACACACGCCAAACATGGTTCTTTGTATTGTTCTTCTTTCTGAATTAATATTTAAACCACCTACATGTATTGCATAAACCCCCCCCCCCCCCCCCCCCCCCAAAAAAAAAAAGTCAATTTCATTTTTTTGCCATGTCCGTTGGTATTATTGATTTAAAACATACCTGGCAGGCCGAGGATGGTGAAGTATGGTCGACACTCTGTGAAGCCGGAGCTCTGCCTAACACAGGACCTCCACAGGCCCGAGTACGAGTACACGGCTGTCACAACGTTGTCAAAGAGGTCTTGTGTGGCCCACTGGTCCATCCCCGTCGCGGCGATTATTCCCGCTATTCCTATCAAACTCAGAACGAAGCCTAAACCCTGACACAACGTGGCCGCCATGCTGCCGTCTTCTTTCTGCCGCTGGAAACCGTCAAGTGCTCTCAGCTCAGCCTTTCCTCAGCACTGCAGCTGTGTTTGAATATGATATCGTCCAGTATGAAGTCTAAAAGGACTTTACCAGTAACCCCGCGTGTTTGCACTTATGTACAGATTTGGGTGGAGCGTATCAGTATCAGTGTCGATTAATGTTGGTAAGGAGTGTTCGTCGTGTAGAGGGTTGGAAGTCTGTTTGTGAGTTTGTGTAAATGGTCTTTGAAAATCTAAAATGAGGAAATGATGATGGTCTTTTGGTAAATTTGGAGAAGGAGGTCATTCAGCTTCTATACCAGATTTGTTGGGTAGAAATGGTAAACAGACTGGTTCTTATTTAGCGCTTTTCTACTCTTTTGGAACACTCAAAGTGCTTTATACAACAATCATCTGAGTGTTCGTTAATCTAAAAAGAAATAAAGTTAGACCACTTCATTTGAATTTAGATTAACAAACACTCAAGGTCATGTTTTAGTCATGCCATGAAATTGATCCTTTTACACTATTTTCTTCTGCTTTAAACACGTCACCACAATAAATGTGTCACAAGAATGACCTACTTCCTGATTCTGAACGAATCTGAACACATAGTGTGCAGACTGGTTTTTTTTAACTAAGTCCAATAGGTTCTTTCTACCTGGACTGTTCAGACTTGGTTTGGTCAGATTTGAGTGACAGTAGCTGGAAAATGAGGATCATACGTTGCTGTTTTATAAAAGTAAAGCCAAAGCCAAACAATCCAGAACAATACAAGACAGAACAATTGTGGGGACTTGGCTCAAGAGGGGCGTGCTCACATTTGGACCTTGAAACTGCACAGTCAGGCATTACACAGCAGACTCTGATTGCAAATGTCAGCACACGCCTCTTGAAAGTTTCAAAAAACAAGCAGTCTTTTAATATTTAATCGTAACGTCATAAGCACTTTCTGCAAAGTTGTTAAGCTAGCCAACATGCTACCATTCAAAACTGACAAGAATCTTTCAGGGACCATTGATCCATCTACTGTTCGCTAAACCCTCAACAGAAATGGTCTCAGTAGAAGGGCGACTGTCACAAAAACAACCTCAAGAATATTTTAAGGAAGAGGAGAGAAAACGCCAAGAGGCCAAATTCCCCAAGAACTAAATTGAAAACCATAGCAACAGGAAGTGATGAGTATATGTGAAACTTTTGGATTGAATCATCACTTACACCATGATGCAGGAAAAGACAAATATTGGAAAAATCCAAATTTACAGTACAAACAATACAAAAGCTGTGTAAACAATTTCATATTGGTGAGATGGGATCCAAAGTATTTAGCTAATGATTACAAAGGTTTCAATGAAGTACGACCCTTTTTTGTTGTAACATAACATCATCTCAGTTTCTGGTCATATTTTTGTCCGAGATATGTTGTTATAGTCACGACATAACAAGAAACAATAACGAGATTGATATCATTAAGACAGTCTTGTAAAGATGAGGACAGTTTTTCTGGTTTAATACGAATCAGATTATTTTTATTCTGTTATGTTATAATTGAATAGATCAGTTTTGAAAAAACTGCAATAAGCTGCCATGTACTTGGACTTGTTTTCTTTCTTTTAAATAACTGACAAAATTAGGTTATTTCAGAACAGGGCATGCGGGTTTAGGCCATGTCCTGAAGATGGGAAGCCCGGCGTGTCAGTAGCTGTGAGATGTAAATATCGTTAGCTTCATAGCATAATTGCCTAAGTCATTTGACTAAGTCAATGACTTAGGCACTTATGCTATGAAGCTAACGATATGCTTCTCCCACTTACTGCCGATTACTTCTGTCTGTCATCCAAGGTAGCACTCAAGCATTTCACTCTGTTGATTCACTCTGAATCTTTCCCCAGGAGAGGTGAACAGAAACAGCGGTCGGAAATAAAGCATTAAAATGTGCTTGCACCCACAACAGTTTTGCTTTCATCAGCTTAGATGATTGCATTAACATGGTACTTTCAAGATTTATTTTGAGCGTAATTCTTCACTAAACTGTATGTTAGACTTGTAAAAATGATTTCAGTTTAGAAGCACAACATCTGCAGATTAAATATTGTTCTATGCCTCTGCCAGGCTGTTAAACGATACTGGATGACAGCATTGTTGGGGTGGGTGCTGCGTATCGTTGTGGCACCAGCAGCCAGTCAGGCGAAAGTAAATACTGATACGATTGTAGTGAACTGAAACCAATTTGCCTGTGGCTGATATGTCGGGGAGAACATTTGAGACACCGGGACTGAATCGAAACTGGGTTGGGGCCTTGTTCGGAGTAAAAACACAGCCTCTGCCGCTCAGTATTCACACATTTATATATAATTTCTTTACTTTTTCATCTTTTCATTTGACATTAAAACTGCTGTTGCCATGATTTCGTAATTTCAAAATAACCTAAACACAGTTTCAGCCCTTAGTCTCAGTGCAAGCACACAATTAATACACAAACTAAAATAAAGGAAATTAAACCTAATAAAATACAAGAGAAGAACATTGTTAAAAAACATTAAACTACACCGCCTCTCTGGCCTCTTTTCCCACACAAAAATTACTCCTGAAAGTTTTCTGAAAACAAGTCTAATGGCCCACCCAGTGAAATGTACCCTTACATAGGCGGCCAGATTTGATTAACATCCTTTGAAATACCAGCAGCTAGTAACAGGGTGTACTAATGATTTTTGCTGTCTGCTGGGCAAAGCCATTTATCCCCCAGCAGGCCAAACCTTAAGCAAATAACTTCTCTAGCTTCTGCTAGAACCACTGTTTACTTATCACGAGCTGCCCATGAAAATGCACATAAAAAGAGAAGGTACTTCACAGAGATTTGTTCACTGAAGGTGTTTGTTCTGCTGTGAATAAGACTGTAAGAAACAGCTGACATTGCCTCCACATGTCAGTAGGTCTGCAGCCACAAACTCTCACTGTACCACTCAATACTCAATACTCAATACTCAAAACCTAAACATCTACATTAATGCACAAAATGTTGATATTTTCCTTTGATCCATATAGCTAAGCAGACAAAAGAGTAATTAAGAAACATGCATTTTCTCACAAAATAAACAGCTGTAAAAATCATCATACCAACAACTTGGAAATAAAATACCGGCTTATTACTATAACATATTTGTGTCCAATACTCCTTTTAGCCGTGTTTGGGTTATAGCAACTTGGGGAAATGTCTGAGGGGTTTAATGGCCAGCTACAAACTTCTTCTGGATTGAAACAGGGATGGAAACCTTTCAAATGTCGGAGTCGAAGCCAACTAGACTTGTTTTATAGCTTCATGAAGATGTTTCATCTCTCATCTAAGAGGCTTCTTCACCTCTAAGAGCCGAAGTGAAGGAACAGGTATTTAACACCTATGCATTTCAACCTTGGAGGTAGTCCTGAGACATGTCACATGATGACCTAGGCTGTCCTCCTGTGAGTTATTAAAGTCGTGAGTGGGGGTTGAATTGCCAGGGAAGGGATCGCAAGACTGAGTTATAGCTGGTCTCAAAGGCCACCACCTCTGTTCATTGATGGTGAACCATCACTACCTCACTGGGAGTGAAATTCTTGGTGCTCCCCATCACCTTTTAGAACCGATAAAGCCTCCCGGATGAGAGTGACACATCCTCATGAACCTGCCTTGAACTCAAGTATTCAGTATTGAGAACTTACACAGACACAGTTGAGAAGGTAGATTAAGAAAACCCACATGTGTCAAAATCTTTTTCAGTAAATTTAGGAACGAGTTGTACTTGAATACCTACTTTAGCACAATGTAGCTAAAGTAGCTCACGTTTACCCATATCTGGACCAATGTTTTTACTCAGCTAGTGCAAATTTGGTCTGAGGTGGTGGGTTGATAGTGTTTTCAGAGTGTGAAGGGCAACAGCTGCGCTCCTTATAGACAGTCCTGGCTCCTATGAGAAATGATGGTGAAGACAACAAGCTGCAACTCTCCTGGGAAGAGTCCTCCCTGGTGAAAGTAAACGTCTCTCCGTCTAGCTGCAGTTGCTGTTAGCATTGCAAATCCTTGTTTGGAAAGACATGTTCGTGATTCTGTGAATACAAGAGGTTTTCTTGTGGTGCATAAAAGTCGCAAAAGATCATCAGAACTCATACTCTGTTGACTGTGAATGTTTTTCACTGGTTTTTGCCTGGATTCAAATATTTAGTTGAGGAGTTTCAAAACTTGTATAATGACTCTTTGTTGATGCAGTGGATATATCTCATGTAGGAGGGGATACAGCACAATCTGCTGCTGTCATTTTCTATAACTTTTTTTTTAAAGGAAAAAAAAAGAGAGAAAGTTTGGAGACAAACCTTGAAAGAAAATTTCCACACCAACTTCTATTTTGAACTCCAGTCAAGAGCTCCATTACCACTCAGGCTACAATAAGAAAACACTAGAAAGAGATGTGCTGAAATGATGAAAGGCTGTCTCAGAAAATGGTAGAAAAATGGCCCATTTACTGTCCTCCACCTTTTGGGAGTCTAAATGGATTTTTATTCAGCAATCAGTGCACTGCCTCCTGACGAACACTAGAGGGCAGAGTGAGTGCAGAGAACAGAGGCTGCGATCACAGCAGGGAGCTAACTTGCAGGGAGTGTGATAAGGAGGGCTTTCACGTTACAGGGCCTGGAGTGCTGTTTCTCTGAGGGCATCGAGAACTTCAACAAAATATGAGCAGGTCAGAAGGAGGACAATCAGCATTTCGGTGCATTTTCCCTCCTGTGAATAAGGCGGCGCATGAGCGAAATCAGTATGAATTAACAGTGTTGGTTAAAAAAAGAAAAAAAGCAGCTTTAACAGGAGCCAGAAGGCAGTGTGAGTGGTCTAGCTGTGGTAAATGAGTAACACTCACCCACTTCAAACATCCTAACAATGAACGCTACCTGGGCAGCCAGGGAGATGAGCACAGCCCCCACAAATCTGCTACATTTGAAGAATGATAGAAAACTTCAAAAATCCCTGAGCAATTAACCAATCACAGTCCAGCAGGACAGTGTGACAGAGTGCACACATCATTGGTCGACAGGCTCACATCCGTTATGCTTTCAGTGGGGCGAGATCTAAATTAGAGAGCCAATT